TCAAAGGGTTACCTATGAGCACGCTACTCCTTCTGAATTCGGAGTTCTCCTCTCACGTGAGAGTTGAGTTCTCTGTTTTTCCCAGAGCACCTGGAACCAGCAGCATCAGGCGAACTAGGCCCTTCCTCTGCCTCTCTGATGCGCTGAGTTTTTTGGCTAGCTTGCAGTACACTTACCCTTCTGATTCTAACAATCGCGCTGTAGGTCGAGCCCCCTCTCGCTGAGAGCTGGGTGTGTTGCTCCCACAGCTAAGTAAATTACTGCTAGCCGTTCCAGCATTGGAACATGCTGTAGGTCAAGCCCCCTTCTCGATTGAGAACTGGGTGTGTTGCTCCCTCAGCTAAGTAACTGCTAGCTGTTCCAGCTTTGGAACAGGCTGCAGGTCGAGCCTCCTCTCGTTTGAGAACTGGGGGTGTTGCTCATAGACATAATAAATACCTAGATGCCTCATTGGCTGCTCAACCGCACGTCAACGTCGCCGCCATATTGGTGAAGGCAACTCTCATATCGGGACAGGCGAAAACATACCTGACTCGTCGGCAGCTTGGGCATCTACAAACCATCGCACAATAATAAAAACAGAGCTCGGGGTATTATCTTTCACAGGTAAGACTGAACAGTTGTTTCTGTATGTTTTTTGGTCATTTTTAGCTTTATGTTGACAGCTTAATTAGCCAACAGTGTCAGACTATTAATAGCTAGCGATATCGCTAGTAAGCTGTGAAAGCTGAGACTTTATATGATATCAAAGTTTAAATGAATTCTTAAGTTTTAACTTTATATTGTAATTTATATCATAAAGTAAATTGTGTTATGAGCACAATAGGTACAGTGAGCACTTTGACAAGACAATGCCAGACTGTCACGATTAAAGAGAGATGATTTAGCTCCATCCCTAATTTCACTAACATTACTTATTTACAAAGAGTAAGTTTATCATCACTTGATTGTAAGGATTTCATAGCTTATCATAAATCTGTGGACTTATTATATATATATTTTTTCCTTTTTAGCCAATTGCAAACAGGACAACACAAGCCTTAAGGAAAGCTGAGGAAAGCCTGTTCTCTGCATTTCCAAGAGAGTAGGCTATAATTCCACAGCCTAATGTTGTATTAGTACTAGTTAAAACCCAGAATAGCCCTGAATGAATGGCCAGAATTACCCTGGTCATATTAATTTATTCTTCATTATTGTCTATTCTGTATTATTCCACCCTTGATATTACATATTCTACTTGCTATTATTCATCTATTGTTATTCATTTATTTATTATGGTATTATACATATAATTTACACTATTTTAAATCTATTATATACTGTTGTAATAGCTTTTTATATTATTCACTTTACTACAACTTGTACTACATATACTTTTTAATATTACATATCACTTTTACTGTGCACTGTATCAGTGCATAATATTTTACCACTGTAACTGTAAGTTTTACTGGATCCATAAAGGATTATCGGTTGTGTTTGTTATTGTTTGTTGTGGAGTTTATCAGTATAGAGTGCTATCAAAATAAAAAGCAGACTACCAAGAGTGTCACTTTTTGATTTGTATTTGCTGGTTTTATTCAGTTTTCTCAATGATGGTAAATTATTAGTGCTTAAAGATGCATTATTTTATTTTCTTCCAGTATTTCAAAGGGGCTGAGCTGTGTTCTGACCTGAAGCACAAGAAAAGCTAAAATGGTGAAGACAGAGAAAGCAATGAAACGACTTCATTTCATTTAATGTACATTCAAATTATAAAACATGTATATGTCACAGTTATACTACATTAACATTAGAATTGTAAACCGAAAAAAACAATCAAATCAACAAGTAAGACGAGTGTGAGTTTTCACAATTTCTTACGAAAATTAATAATTTTCCAAACCTAACTAAATAAATGGAGGCAGAGTTATTTTTAACTCCATGTAGATCACAAACCTCTAAAATCGGTTGATAAATGTAAACGTTATCGTGTTTTTATCCAGAAA